CCTTCTCCTCCTCTTCTTCTTCCTCTTCCTCCTCCTCCTCTTCTTCTCCTCCTCCTCCTCCTTCCATCTGCTTTTCTTCTTCTGCTCCTCCACCTTCTTCTCTTCTTCTTCTCCTGCTCCTCCACCACCTCTTCTTCTTCCTCCTACTTCTCCTTGTCTTCTTCTTCTTCCTCTTCCTCCTCCTCCTCTTCTTCTTCCTCCTCCTCCTTCTCCTTCCACCTCCTCCTCCTCTTCTTCTGCTCCTCCATCTTCTTCTCTTCTTCTCCTCCTGCTCCTCCACCACCTCCTCTTCTCCTCCTCCTTCTCACAAACCCCACTCCCTTCTAGCACAGAGGAGGCTACCGAGTAGGGTCATGAAACATCTGTAAGAAAACCACCCAGCTCAGAGAGCAGCGAGAATCCTCCGTATTCCCCCACATCCTGCCCAGATGCCACCCCCCCTCCACTTCATAGACCCCGAGCAAACATTGGATTCTGCACCGTTGCCATATGCACCATTGCAGCCTGGGGGACCCCACCACCTGCCTTGACACAGAAAGTTTTAAGTTAGAGTAAGTCACCTCTCAAGCAGGTTGCATTCCTTTTGGACAGCTTCCTTTTGGAGGAAGCCAACGGAATCTGTTTATTTATTGATAGGGATTTATTCAAATTGATTGCATCTGTTCTCTAAATGTCTCGGGAGGCGGGAGGTGGGGAGAAGAGGAGGGAAGAGCAGCTCACAAACATTGTCAGAGCATTTAATGAACTCTAAATAAAGCAATTTATGCATTGGGGTTTTTTTTTGTAATGCTTAGATGCATTATGAAGGGTTATTGGTCTTTTTTAAGTGTCTACCATCGTGATGCACATCCTAGAACTAATTCAGACTGAATGTCGAGCTTCCTGTCTCCGAGGGCCCTCATTTTCTCTGACGTAGGATCTGTGCCAGATAATCCTCGACTTTACAATGGTTCATTTAACAACCACTCAAAAGGACAACGGCCCTTGGAAAAAAAATGTGACTTACGAATGTTTTTCATGCTTACCACCTTGGTAGCAACCCCGCAGTCACAAGCTCAAAATTCAGGCGCTCGGCCACTAATTCATGCTGAGGACTGTTGCTATGCCCCAAGGTCATGTGATAACAGGTAACAGATAATCAGAGTTGGAAGGGACCTTGTAGACCATCTAGTCCAACCCCCTACCTAAGCAGGAGACCCTACACCCGTGATGGCAAACCTATGGCATGTGTACCACAGGTGGCATGCAGAGCCATTTGTGCCGGCGTGTGAGCTGCAGGCAAATTTACCTCACTCCACATACACGCGCATCACAGCTGATTTGAGGCCTTTTTCGGCCTCCCAGAGGCTTCAGGAAGGCTTCAGCCGGCTTTTCAGGACGAAAACTAGGCCCGTTCCATCACTTCCTGTTTTTCCAGAAATACCGGAAGTGACAAAACGGGCCTAGTTTTCATTCTGAAAAGCCTGCAGAAGCCTTCCTGAAGCCTCTGGGAGGCTGAAAAAAGCCTCAAATCAGCCATGATGCGGGTGTTGGGGACAGTGCATGTAAGGGGGAGGGGGGGGGGGTTGCGCATACATGCGTAGTGTGCATGGGGGGTCACGCATTGCATTCTGGGTGCTGGCACACGAGCGCGAGCATGCAATGCGTGCACAATTTTGGGCACAGGAGCCCCAAAATGTTAGCCACCACTGCCCTACACCATTTCTGACAAATGGCAGTCGAATCTCTTCTTGAAGGTTGATCTCTTTCTGCGGCCTTCTGGTGAACAAAATCCATAGGAAAGCTAGTAACAGTGTTGTTATGGTCATGGTTATGCCATGGTTGAACCATGTTATGCCATGGTTCCCTTAACAACCATTGCAAGAAAGGTTGCAAAAAGGGGCAAAACTCACTTTGCAATTGTCTCACTTAACAACTGAAATGTTGGGCTCAATTGTAGTCATAAGCTGAGGGCTACCTGTATAAATTTTGCTTTACAACTCACAATTTATGTGCTGCAGGAGACAAAAACAAAATGGATGCCATTTGGCAATAAGAGATTTCTATTTTCAGAGGGCCTAAGATTGACCACATAGACTGAGCCCATCTAGATGTCACCTTTAGTTAAGGAATATATTTGGAGTCCTATAGATCATCAAGGTAACAATAGCCCTTAGATATATATATATACCACTTCACGGAGCTTTGCAGCCCCTCCCTTTACAGAGTCAGCCTCTTACCCTCATCAATCTGGGTCCTCATTTTACCTGCCTCGGAAGGACGCAAGGCTGAGTCAACCTTGAGCCAGTGAGATTTGAACTGCCAAACTTCTGAGCAGCCGGCAGTCAGCAGAAGTAGCCTGCCGTACTGCACTCTAACCACTGCAGCACCATGGCTCAAGGGAGGAAAGGAAAGGAAAGGAAAGGAAAGGAGAGGAGAGGAGAGGAGAGGAAAGGAAAGGAAAGGAAAGGAAAGGAAAGGAAAGGAAAGGAAAGGAAAGGAAAGGAAAGGAAAGGAAAGGAAAGGAAAGGAAAGGAAAGGAAAGGAAAGGAGAAATG